TGAACATTTATTTTCTCCATCTTTAAACTCCGGTACACTGTATCAGAAGACACACCAGCCTAATTGGGTCTCTGTGTGAAGTACGTAGCCTCCTAGTTAATGAGTTACTTAATAGCTCATAAAGTGTCCTCTAGGCTCCCCTCAAACTATAACCATTCCCAGGCAGCAAACCAAGCACTTATCACACTTACAGACAGTTTTAATATCAAAAGTCAGAAAGCAGAAGAATAAATAAATAAATTTGTTATACTTTTTGTTGAGGGGTAGGGGGAAAGATGGGCATTCTGTCTGCATGTTAGGGGACAGGCCCTTCTAGACTGCTTTTTCCTTTTGTCATTAAAATGCAGAGAGACAATAAAGCTGTGTAATCATCCTGTAACACTTCAGCACAAGTATTAAACCAGGATCTTCTACTGAGTTAAACCAAGACCCAAGATTTTCCTGGATGTTAGTCACAGCCATTGACAGCTCACACAGACTGCAGCAGGAGCCGAGCACAGCAGAAGCTAAGCTTGGCTTCCTCTGGATCAAAGGGCACAATCCTTTGGCACCACAACGCCAGGTAAAGTGTCTAGATGGACTTTGAAATATGCCAGAAAACGTGAAAGTTTTCAAATTAACTTTTATGTTACATCCCACTCGGCTGGTGTAGAGTGCATTAAATGCTACCATGGAGTGTGTCAGAGCATACTCCATAGAGGACATTTAATGTTAATGTCAGCACTTACAGGGTCACTGGCAATAACAAGTGGTTATCTAAGTGACTGATGACCCAAGCCTCTGGCACAAAGGTTGTTATTTCTTTTGTATTTGTGGCTATTTCCTACTAATAATGCATGTGTTTCTTTCCTCATACATAAAGCCTAAGAAATCTATTAAGATGACAGTATTTGAACAATAGTAGAATACAGTACAGTTATGAACTATTAAAAAAAAAATTAGTAAGAATTTGAAACTATCTAGCATGTACTCTTAGGGATTTATCATTCTATCCTAAAGGGCTTTATTCCAGGAGAGATTTGGTCCAAATGAATATTAGTGACTTGCGGATGTGCAATGTATGCCTTAGCTAGTATACCAAATCATGAATGAAATCTTGGCAGGGAATATAGGGCACGTATTGGAAGAAGGTTTTCCAGACAATTGTGATTTCAACACTTATATTAAATTTATAAAATACTTTAAGAGGCAACATTTCTTCATGGTGCATCCTTGTTATTTTCCATAGATTCAGCACTGCATGCAAAGCATACATTACAAATTATGCATGCTAATGAGCCAGCAGCTTATAAGTAAATGTATGTTCTCTAACAAACATAGACATTATACCTGTGCTTGCAGGCACACAGTTTGCACTATTTGATGTTCCTTAACTTTCTGAAGATCTAAGGTTGTTTCCACAAGAGAATTAAACACCTTTTTCAGTAATAATCCCTCCTTCCCCCCAGCTTTCTGGAGAATTTTGTTGACCTTTTTTGTTTATTCTTGCTGCCAAGCCATAAAACTCACACAGTTAAGGCAGTATTAAGGTGACTTTTGTCATTTTTGTTTCCGCAAGAGGCAGCTCCACTGACCCAAGAGCCTCCGAGGCAGTATCACTTCACTCAGGTTAGCATGCATGGCTGTGCTGCTCGCTGCAGAGAAGACCTCAAGGGCGGGCATTTCGGCATGCTGCCAGCAATGACATCATCCCCCAGCTTACAAGAACCTTGTAAGCTTGGTTTGGGCAGAGCAGATCTGGACAAGTGCCGATGTGCAGTCAGACACAAGAGCAAGGCAAAGCACTGTTCCACCACAGGCTCACAGAAGCACAGTACCCTGCATCCCTGCAAACGTGGCTCTGGAGCCCGAGTACACTCACTTGGAGAAGCACATGCCCCTGGTACAGCTCCCAGGAGCCACTTTTTTCTCCTTCTGCATAGGACTGTTTTAACACTCGCACTTTTTAAATTCCTTTTACCCTTGCAGCAACAAGAATTAGCTGGAGGCAACTGGTTACTCACTGACCTCTGATCCCACACATATAACTGCCTGTGCTTTGCACCCACACCAACCCAGGCCAAGCTGTGGCTGTGCAGGCCCATGGAAGGTCCCGCTCCCAGTCCTGTATGGCTGAGGAGTGGAAGGGGTACCTGAGCTGGAGGAGGTCTGCAGACCCTCACCATGCAGGGTGACGTTTGCCAAGGAAATAAGCAGGTTGGCTTTAAAAGCATGCTATTCGATGATTCTGTTCTAGAAGCATCATGATACATTTAACCAAGTTGACAGAACAGGAAGAAAACAAGAAAACAAACTCAAGGCAAACTGCATTTGATCTGGAAATTATTAATATTTGAGACAATAAAGACAACCTCATTGAATACTATTTGCATAGATGCCCTCCTCGGAGCCAAACCACACTTTAAAGGACTTCATCTTGAAAGAGCACTGCCGAATTGAAACAGAACTACTACCATGACTAGAGGGCTGTGGTGCCAAAAGATGTCAGATTGAACACGAAACAGAATTTTCATTCTTTTGTGTACTCCATAAATATTAACAACTTGACACCCCGTAATGAAAGCAAAATGCACTTAAGCACGGGCAGAAAAACCAAACTAGCCAACTATTCTTCTTTTAGGATTACAATTGAAAATTAGTTGTAGGGGTCAGAGTTTTCCAGCATAACTGTAGGTTGGGATTAACTCTGTGGACATTCTGAGTGCATAGGAGGAGAATTTAGCCTTGCGTGGTGCTGGAGGATTGCAAACACCATGAAACAGGCACCCTACCCTTCCAGGGCTTTGCTGGATGGAAGCAGCTGCCCAATCCTTAAGTCAGCCAATTGGTCTCAGCCCACACTTAAGGCCATGAACAGAGAGGAGAGGTGCAGCACAGGACTATGGCACTTAGCTGGCCTGCTGAGCACCAGTCCTGAAGGAACCTCACACCTGCTGTGGTCCAGAGGCAGAGCGTTACCCCCTCACATCCATGTGATTCACTGACAAAGTTTGCAAGTCACACAGAAAAGAAGAAAACTTCAATCGCTGGGCAAGAAGTGACAAGGAGAGCACAGCAGACAGGATTTGCTGCAATGCATTGCTTTGATTCGTATCAGTTGAGCATTTGCCTACCAATTCTCACTTTGCTCATTTATCTGATAGACGGCTCTGTAAGTCTATAGCAAAAAAAACCCCAAAACAAAACAAAACCAAACCCCAAAATCTCATAATTTAAATCATAAAAGATTTTTGTCTTGGTGCCCATGCCCATCAAAAACTTTTCTAGGCAAGAACTTCCACCAAGACCTATGACAGAAGAGAAGTTAACGGAGAGGTTCTGAGTATGTAGACTCCACAGGGGTGCATTTGGTTTGGCTCCACAAAATACTTCTATATATGGTTTGGAGAGAGCTGTAAAGGGCAGGAAATTGCCTGTCTGTGCATAAAGTAGTAAATGGTGAAGTATTTTTTTGAATTCTCCCCCCCTCTGCAGACCAGCAAAGGCTTTTGCATACACTATCAGGAAAGAAGCATATTTACAAATATTTAGGTTATTGCGTAACAGAGTGAAAGCCAATTCTAGCACTGAGAAGTGCACAAGTCACAGAAATATAGTTCTGTAGTACCTTGCTGCTCCTCTTATAAATAAAATTAAAAAGCAGAACATTACTACCATCACATATTTTCTTCCACCAATTTTAGAGCTAGCTTCAGGAACCAAAGTGAGAACTAAAGGGGCAAAGGTGCATCAGGAAATAAAAGTGTTCCTAAGCTCAAATATGTCAACTTTTGACTCCTTCTGGTTTTGCAAGTCTCCCAAGAGCCTTCTATATGCCTGCTCCTTGTTTACCACAGTTTCATTTGCTGTGTCTGAGGCAAGAGGAAACCAACCTTACTGAGGGCCCTGGACACCAAGATGTCCAAGGAAAGTTCATATTTGACAGTGAGGGCATGCACAAGGCTTTGCTTGCAAGCTTCTGTTGCAGGGAATCAGGGCCTGCCTGAGCTCAAAGTCATTAATGCTTCCACATCCTCCTCCAGCACAGGAGGAAAGCACTATGGAGTCTGTCCTACCATCTCCTACTGAGACACACTGTATTTTCATACTCTGGCAAATACAAACTGTGTGTGTACCGCCTTCAAGGAAGGCTTAGAGCTTTGCAATGCTTTAATCTCTACATTGTTTAGGCAATTTCATTGACCCTTTCTACTCTCCTGGCAGCTGCTTTAGGAGGACATGCAGAAGCAGCTGCTGTAGGAGCATAGGGGTGGTCCTGACAGAAGTAACTCACACCAATGCTTCTGGAAGAGGCACACAAGCCATCTCTTGCACCAGCACCTTTTTTAAAGGTGCCACAACAATGCTCTGAGCTCCCTTGGTTGCTGTACAACATAATTCCAATGTCTGATCAGTTCCAGGAAGTGCTTTACTAGGCCAACTTACATTTTAGACCCAAAACACCTCCAATAACAATGAGACAGAAAAAGAGCTGTAGAGGTATTTTACTGCCCAGCCAGAAACATGTTCAGGTTAGAAGCTTCTACCTTAACCGCAGCAGCCTACCCAACAGATGTTATTATGCTTCCTGGGGCTCAGGATGACTTGATCCAACTTAAACGTAAAAGTACATGAGAACAATATCAACACATTTATATTAGCGACAAATGTGTGTTTTAAATTAGCTTATTCCACAAACATAGGCCATTGAACAGCCCCATCTGCACATGGGGAAGGCAGCAATGGCCAGGTGCATGCATAGGAGAGGGGAACGATGAAGCAAGGAGGTAAAAACTGGAACAAGTATCTGAGTGCAATGAGAGGAAAGAGGAGGGAAGAGGAAAGAGGACAGAGCTTTTTAGTGCAGCTCAGCAGCAGACAGTGCTGACCTGTGTCACTGCTGCTGAAACTACTGTGAAGCAGAAGGGTAGTTCCAGGGATCCTGCAATTGCACTGCCACCGAGCTTCACTTCTCAGGGGCTTTCTGCAAGCTGCTGAGCCTAGGTAAGTCTGGCATTCACCCGAGTCTGCCTGGCAGCCCAATGGGATGCCTACAGTGTGACTGCCATACCATTTCACTGGGAACAAACAGGGGCCTGAAAGAGCAGAAAAGGAAGCGGCAGCCTGTTATCCTTGGGGTGGAAAAAACCCTAAGAAAAAAAACACACACCAAACACCCCCAAAAACATCTTGGCCCACCTCACTGCCATCTGCTGACATGGAAGTGGAACAGGGATTTACAGTAACCCTGAGAGTGGCCAGAACCACTTTATGAGTTTAACTCAAACATCTCATCTGGGTTTGAAAGAGGCTTTTTAAAAACCTACTAAAGCTCAAGCTGAAATTTTAGAGCTCCCAAGGCAAAATCCTTGGCTCTGACCAGGAAGCACAGATGGTAAGTGCTCAGGGACAGCAAGACTACAACAAAGCAGGAAACACCTCCTCTTGGAAATGGGAGCTACGTGGAGAGGGAATCCATAAATACTCAGTGCCTGGGGTTTGGTCTGGAGCAACAGCCACGGGTCTCTGTGTCTGTTTAATGATCTTTGTATCATTAAACCTGCTGTTTTCTTAGTTGCAGATACTAGCTGGGCGCTCCCTTGGAAAACCTACGGCATTCCATACCCAAATTTTGAAATTCAATGGACATTGGCCATTTAAGTCCCACAGGGACACAGGAGCATATTCTCAATTTCTGTGCACCTTCACCTTTATGCATGTGCTTAAAATGACTGCATTTTAAGTGTCACTGAAAAGGATGTGTTAAATATGCTTCCACTGGCTTTAGACAATCCCAGCTTTTTACCAGATGAAATTGAATAAATAAGATTTTAAATAAAAATTACAAAACCTTTTAAATAGACACAGTCAAATCATTCTTTGAACCTTTTGATATATACTAAACCTACCACATTCTTTTAAAAAATTACAATTTTTCTAATTTAATTTAAACCAGCCATGAAAACAAAGGATTTAACTGCACTGCAGTTAATGATTCCAATAAAAAACCCTAGCTGTTTACATGTTCAACACAGAGAGTTTTCCTGGCCCCTTTTAGCTGTCCATACAATACATTGTTAAGTTAACACTTAATAACACCAGATTAATATATAACAGAGAGAGGGTGTATTGTAGCCTCATTTGCTCCATTTAGCAAGTTCTATTAAATTCTGGTTTTCTCCCTTAGAAGATCATAAATATGCCAGTGCTCACCTTTGAGAATGAGTCTAAAGTGCAACTTCATCTGGGCAAATCACTTGGCAAGTAATTTGTGACCCTTGATTTTAAATCACATTAAGAGTACCTATTCTGCTAAATGGGGGACCTGAGGCCAACTGGAGCATGAAGAAGAAGAGCAGGTTAGTTGCCCATTTCCCCCCATCTCTCTCCCCAAGCCTGTGAACCTACCTGAGAGCCAGGCTGGTCCCACACAAACACTGCTGACCACAAGCTAAAGAAACACTACCTGCAAGTCTTGCCTTTCTCATGAGTATCGCTATGCCAGCTGGCATTTAGGGGAGCCTGTCTGTTGCCAGCTTGTGGTGGTGTCTGATGGATGTTACTGCAGCAAGGAGCACTCTGATGTACTGAAACTGCTATGAGTTGCTAAAGGATACAACACACCCATGACAGGCTAAAGCGGACTAATAACAACCTCCCCGTTCTCCACCATTGGAAGGGGGCAGCAGAAAACTCCAAAACAGAGTTTGCAGCAGGGATTTTTGGAAAAGATATGTAAACAAGACCGCAGCTCAGGTTCCTGGGGAAGCCCAAGAACCCTCAATATAGGAGGGAGGGACTGTCTTTGTAACAGAAGTATCTTTGTTCAACAGCAGCCCAAAGGTCTGTGCAGGAAGCCAGGTGCCCAGTGGGAGGACTTACAGAGTGACCCAAGAGTACCTGTGCTGGAGGGAGTGAAGGAGCACATCCAGCATCCACATACAGAACTAGCTCATAATCATCAAGATGGATACAGGGAGACTTCACCAGTCACCACTGTTTGTTACCGTCCTTTTAACCATCTCCTTAGTCTGTATTGACTTCCCTTATCCCCTCCCTAAACCAGAAAGGCTGTTGAGCTGGATGCTGCTACACCTGCACTGCAGATACGTCCCCCAGCCCCTGTGCTCACCCAGAAATCACAGTGCAGCTGATTATGTCCACCCTGCTCTGAGCAAGTTTCACTGCCTCCCTGACTCAGTGCAAGATTTGTGCTAGGGTTAACTTGGGAGCAGCTATGAATTTAGGTTCCCTGCTTTTTATGGGTCTGCAGGGGTAAGAGTAGCTTACACTTTAGTAAAGTCTAACCACTAGTTCTCTTGCTGATGCACTTGGTCCTTAAGATTTAAGGAAGGCCTGTGCTACAGGAACAGGAAAACCAAAACAAGTGTAGGAGAAAAATACATTCTGGCTAGAACTTCAGCAGGGATATGGTTCTCTTGTTAATGACTTCAAATATATGAAAGAACTATAAATAAAGCTACAAATATGTCAAGGTGTGATTAGCAATGAGAAAGCAGAACTCCTGCTCGTGCGTTTCTGCACAGTGCTGACCAACACTCAGGGTTTTGAAAGCAGTATGTGGAGGGTGCATCTTAGCTCTACCACTGGTGTCCAAACTCAAAGGACATTCTTTTGGGTTTTTGCCAATCACTTAGTGCTTTATACTCTTATCTTAACCCCCACAGAAATTAGGCATTCCTAGCCATGAAGATTAGTTCAGGTTCAGCTCTAGCATGTATACATTTTTGCCAGTTGTTATATATAATGTACTATATATTCCAGTATAATGTAATAAATTACAGCAATTTAGCAGTAATAGAGTATGAATTTTTACACAATATTATAATAAACACAAATTAAGAGATAGTTTCTAGGCACATCTTCTTTCTAAATCACAAACACAGTTGTGATACTTTGTAAATTATGTGAATTAATACAGTTGTGACATTACCAGAGCTCTCTGGCCTCATACTGATATTTGGCGAGAAGAACCTGAAACTTCCCTGCGTTAGGAAGACCACAGAAAGCTTCTATGTGCTTTACTTCCAGGTGGCTGTACTAAAAGTGCCAAGTACAATTGAGCATCCACTGATGAGCAGCTACCTAAAACAGAGGAATACAGAACACTTCCAGGCCTCATTCTCCACCACCAAGTTGCACTCGGCAGAGATGGGGAATGTCTGCACTGTGCAATTCAGTTCAGGGCAGATACCCAAGACCACTGGGGACCTGAAACAGTGCTGCTACTACAGCAGGGTGCTCTTCCCAGGATAATTAGTTGGTCTACAAAGATCTAGGACAGCTCAGCTGCTCCCAGGGTGAGCACCCACCTGCAGCGAGCTGTTCTGTGCATCTGTTCAAATGCCAGGTTCCTAGCTTCCCTACAGGTCACCTGGACTGTAGCATGCACAAAACAAAAGCACACAGCCGCCAAGCTTTTCACAATTGCATGTTCTCCTTTCAGAGGGCTTTACCAGTTACACTGGGTTTGACTAGTTAATTTTCTTCATAGTAACTTGTATCATGCTATGTTTTAGATCTGTGGTGAAAATGGCGTTTTCACTCCTAGATGCCCATGTTGAGGCACCGTATCATATCTCATCTTGTGTAGCCCAAATGAGTGACAATACACACCACAGGTAATCACACTGTCCAGAGCATCTGCATTTGAGGCAAGGGGAGCTGAGCCCAGATTGGTCAGTTCCCAGCTGCAAGGGCACTCTTACAACTTGAAGCAGCCAACTTTTATTCAACTGCATGGAAAAGATTTGTGGAGAAAGAACCAAAATGCAGTGGAAGCTGCAACAGCTGCAGAGGCTGGTGACTGGAACATTCCCTTATGTAGATGGAAAACATAAGACTCAATTCTTTCAGCCTGAGCTCTGTACTCTTCGTGGTTGACATTCCCATGAAAGAGCTCATTGTCAAATACAACATTAGTTGCTCAAAATACACACCTTGCCTGTATGTTATTTCTCCCAACACATTTGCTCTTCTGCAGCTGTTCCCAGTTCCACTGCCTAGGTACCAAGTCAAGTCATCTAAAAGGAGGAAGGCAGAGATTCATGCTTTAAGAGATTAGTGGATTTTCCCCCATCTCTGTACTGTTCTCCCTATATTTCTGTAAGGCTGGAAATGCCTTGTCCTACCTTGGCATTTCCACCCTTTATACAGTGTTCAGCCAACTCTTCTGTACAGCCCTGCCAATTAATTAGCAGCTGCACTACAACATAGATGATGGTGGTGGATGTCTTACAGCTGTGCCAGCAGAACGTGGGCTGCAGTATACCACTTGCTGGTAAGCAGTACATGAAATACCTGATACCAGCAGAAGGGCATTGGACAAGGCCACTGCTTGAGTTGAGCCCTGCTTAGGGAAAAATCAGAACAAGTTTCTCACCATGACATCTTTAGGAGGGTGGCAAGGTGGGCAATGCCAGGCTGGTGACCAGCTGCAACAGCCCTGGGTGGTGTTTCCCTTTCCCCAGTTCTAATGTGGAAAGCGTTGCCAGCAACGGGCACGAAAAGTTTTCCTGGTAGACCAGAAGCTTGTTGCATTTTGCAAATTAGCTTGATCTCACCCAAGGAAACATGCAAGAGTCCCTTATAATGTTTCTAATGGCTGCTAAGCCTCAGAGCTAGCATAAAGTAATGGCTTTCAGGCTGTTTATTGCTCTCTGCCATCCCAAAACCTGTCTACCTTTTGGTAACAGTAACCTTATGTTTAGAGAGGCATTTGCAGTTTATTGTACCGTTATTTTATGTAAGCTCCAGCTACTATTTGCTCTGAAAGCATTTCTGTTTACTTCCCTTTCCAAATAGTAGCAATCCTAAATTTTCTGCATTTGGCCACACATAATGTGTCTGAGGAAAAGAGACCAAATCCTGAGGTACAACACAGTAACTATACATTTAGTTACCAGTGGAAATTACATATTAACAGCTGTTAATAATATACTTGAATAGCTAATTCTGAAGCTTCTCTCTCTTTTCTTGGTTTTCAGCTCAGTCCATACAGCCCTAGGCAGTTGTGAGCTGCTTCCAAAAGGATCCACAAAAGATCATCTCAGAAAAGTAAACATGTCAAATTTCA